TCTGCCTTGTGCTCTTGCAGAAGCTTGTTAGATAAGCAGTAACTGGCTGAACTGACAAAGAATAGTAATCAGTAATTAATAATTATAGTTTAATTGCAGTCACAAGTAGGTAACTGGTGATGGGATAGGTAAATATTTATTCCTCAAGTTGTTATGTAGTGCTTTTTTTTTTTTTTTTTTTTTCAGTTTGCAAGGACTGTTGCAGATACATCTTTTCAGAAGTGACCTAGGAATGCAGTGTGTGAGCAGAAAGACAGATGTGTCTGGAGAGATCTCTGGGCAGAGGGCTTTGGGTGAGGCTGATGGAGGAAGGCTGGGCTCAGCTCTAGCACAGAGCTGGAAATGTGCAGAAACTGAATCCCCACCAAATCTAGGCCTGTCTTCAGAAAGCTCACTGAAATTCATAATAAGAATATACACTGGGAGGAAAACGTACTTCTCTCCTCTTTATTCTCCCTTCTTTTTCTAACTTCTCTCTCCACTCTCCCCAGATAGTTTCATTTTGTGGGTTTTATTCAAGAAGAACTGAGCAGATTAGATGAATTCTGCTGGGGAGGATTGCTGGTTTGGTGTGCGATTGCTAGTTCAGTGTGCCAATTATGAGCACATTTACAGTATGAAGAGAAGAGAGAGAGCTGGTAGACTGGAAGACCAGAACTGCTTTCAGATCAATAGATGAGCTGACATTGAGGCTAGAGGACTGATAGAAGCAGTGGAAAGGATAGACATATTTGGCAGGTTTCTGAAGGCGTTCAGTAGCAACACAGAGATGGAGCTGATAAATCAATAGCTCTTTGGGGAGATTAGATTGATATTTTAAATGTATATGGAACTGTCCTAGCCAGGAAGACTGAACAAGCACTGAAAGAACAGATAAGCAGAGAAACATTAATTAATATTTCTGTATTGTTTTTGTGTGTATTTTTTTTAAGGAACTATATGCAGTTTGAAGCTGCTTTCTTTTTACAGCTGGGAGGCTGGATCGGATGGAAGCCTGATTGCATTATTACTCTGGAATTCCTCAGGCTGGTGTGGGTTAAGTTAGCATTAATGAATAAATTATTGTTATAATGAAAAAGCATTTAACACAGAGCTGTTGGTTGGCAGCAGGACAGGACTGGGACAGCTCTGCAGTGCTGCCAGGGCTGGAGGGGAGGTCAGCCTGGGCTCACCATGTGTGTTATCTGTGTGCGGGTGTTTTGGAGAGGTTAAGGATGCAAAGGAAGGCATTATAGCAACTTTCAAACCGTGTGATCAACAAGACTTAGAATCTTAATTATGCTTTATTGCAAACAAGGGTGGTTTTGTCAGATTTCAATGGGAGCAAAGCTGTGCCCTTTGTGCTGGATTTGTCCTACTTTGGGCCAATCAGGCTCTTTTCTCATGCCACCAATTTTATTAGCTGTCATAAATTAGAGACAAAATGCTGTAAAGTGGTTTTAATCATTCTGGCATTCCTGGGGTGAGCTGCAACTTCTGCTCTGTGCTGCTCAGTGTTGGGTTCTCCCACAGTGCCCCTCCGTCTTCCCTAAAAACCTACCAAAAGTTCAACTTGGCAGGTTATTTTTGCATGTGATATTGTTGTGTTCACCAGATGTTGTGAAGCTAAATTAAAGGATATCGTGTACTAATGGAATTTCCTAGAAGTGTACAAGTGAATTATTATGGCTGGAAAACTTAGGCTATTTAATATATATTTCCACAGAGGCACGAGGGAAGGACTGCAATGAATAAAGTAAATGTATAATGATAAGGGAGATGAAGGATGTCCTTAGTTTGCCTTCCCTTAGTTTGAATTTGATGGAAATCGGATCAACCCAAAGATAGCTCAGCTACTTTTGACTGTCCCACTTGCCTTGGTTTGTCTGGTGCTGCTTCATTGGACTCACTGGACTCCCCTGTCTAACAAGGACTTGTTATGTGCTGACATATTTTTAGAATAATTTTATTTAAAGAAAAAAAAAAATGATTGCTAAGAGAAAACCAGTTCCATGACAGCAGGGTTAGAGTGATCTTGTCTTTAGCAGCAAATACTACTTTATTATATTTGCATGTAAATAGATGCCAGATAAGTGTTTCAGATGAAGAGAGCGTTTCAAAGTCATTTGCTTTCTGGAAAACAGAATAGCTCAGCAGGACTTGGAAGGCTCTGAACTTGAGATGCATTATGTTCAATGTTGATAAAATTGATCTTTGCAAGTTTATAACCCCTCAGAGTTACCCTGGAACATGGCTGCCTTCTGCAATGCCTCTTGCTGATTGCTGTTAAATTGCAGTATGGTGTAATTAAGAGGAATGGGGGAATGAGTGCTTATAGGGCTGACACAATGGATTTCTTCACTCAGGAAATCAGTGCATTAGTAAAGAAACTGGAATATCAGTTTCTTTCTCCACTAGATATTTGTGGTTGGACACTTGATCTTCCTCCTTTTGACACGAATACTTGTTTCTCCTTACATATACCATGATTGCTGAAATCACGATCATGAACTAACATGAGACTGGGCTCAGGACCAGTTGATTACGTACCTGAATTATTCCCCAGGCACTCTCAAAAGCAGTGAGGCCAGCCAGGCTGTGCTGGCTCTGCTGTGCTGGGTTATGGACCTTCCCCTGCAGCTGGCAGAGGGTCTGGTCTGGTGCTCAAAGATCTGGGTGGACCTTTAAGTGTACCTGTAAACTAGATGACTGTCAGTGCTATGTAATGTGTGCCCCTTGGGCTCCCAATGGCTTGAGCAATCAGTATGACAGCCCACACCCAAAACAAAAGGCTCTGATAGGAAATGTTGGATTAGACCAGAGTGTTTTCAGGCCAGAATATTGGTATGTATAAAATAGTTATTTTCCTTGGTGATCTTGTCATCCCCAAGTGTGAAATATGAACCATCAACTGGCTTCAGTCTTCTCTCAAAAAATGCAAAAAGAATGTAAAAGTTATGGGCAAATGTGAACCTAATACAAAGAAGTTTGGAAGCAGACCTGCTCGGATTAGGAAATCAAAAGCAAGCAAAGAGACAGAAGAGCAACGTGACACCCAGCACCAAAACAGAAACTCCTAAACACCATGAAACATAAGTAAGCCTGGGGATAAAACACTGCAGTGCCTTAAACAAAGTGTTTTGCATTGCTCCAGGGCAGAGTTGAAGTCGAGATACTTTAAATGTATGTCCAACCATAATTCGTCTGGATTTCTTTTTAGCCGTTTAATTTTCATAAGACTGATTTTTAAATGACTTCAGTATGTCAGTCATTATCCAATTTTAACTCTAATTTCATTTCAGTTTAACTTTTCAGTAGGAATATGTGTGTGTACCTGTAGCATGTATGCACATGCTTGAGCAAGTTGTGTGCACGCGAGGACATGCGGTGTGACCTCAAACCTGGGGGCTGTTCTTGCTGTTCTTGCTACTCCTCCTGCTGTGCCACTTTGCAAACATCCTTGCCTTCTGCATGCCCTCTTGTGCTTCTCTCTTGTGGTGGCCATAGCTTTGGGAAAGGCTTGCCATGCTTTGCTATTCATGCATTAATGCTGGGGTAGTTGGTTGATGGAGCTGGTGACTTTTGGCACTGCCCAACACAGAGTGTGGGGGGGGAACTTTAGGGAGCTTTCAGCTGCAGGCTTCTGTTAATAATTAGCAAATAATCCTATTTGTGAGCATCTGCATTGGCTTCAACTGATGCTGACAAGGCTAAATACATTCCTTGTGTAGTGCTCTTCTGGGCTGTGTGTTTGACCTTTCAATATGTAAAGGGAGCTGATAAGCAGGAGGGAGAGCAACTTTTTACATGGTCTTATAGTGAAAGGACAAGTGAGAATGGCTTTAAACAAAGAGAGTTGAATTTATGTCTGATTTAAGGAAGAAATTCTTTACTCAGAGGCCCTGGCACTGCTGCCCAGAGCTGTGGGTGCCCCATCCCTGGAAGTGCCCAAGGCCGTGGATGGGACCTGGGCAGCCTGAGCTGGGGATCAACCAGCACACGGCAGGGCTTGGAACTGTTTTTGCCTTAAGGTCCCTTCCAACCCAACCATTCTGCGATTCTTTGATCTCTTCTGCAGTTTAGCCTCTGATGGCCACATACTGGGTGTCCCAAACCTGGATATCTCATCCTCCTCTTGTTCTGCTGCCCACCAGTGTGCTGTAGAGCAGCCCCATGGGTTTCATCGCTTTTCCTAACAGTGGCAGGAGACTGTCTGCTGGCTTCTCAGCACTTCAGTTTTCCTGATGTCTGAGGCAGTAGATGGACACTTCTGTCATAATTGTGCATTAATTGGAAAGCACACTTCTTGCCCTGCAGTCCATGTGGCTATCGATGTCAGCTCACCGTGCTGCTGTTCCCCAGGGGCACTGCAGCCATGGGGAAGCAGAGCTGCTTCGAGAGCTCAGCAGCTGTGCCCTGTCTGCCTGTTGAAAAGCAATCTCCCTTAACAATGAGCTAAAAAATGCACGCTACTGTAGAGACATCACAGGCTTACCCTCACTGAGCAGCGTGTTTGTGTATCTTGTGGCTGCCACATACAGGACCTTAGCCATCCATCAATATCATCACTTTAAGAGGAGGAAAAAAACAGCAGAGACATGTTCCAAATGGTTTCACACTAAAAGGAAGCGTCAGACTTTGTGTTTGGCATGGTGTGCTGGAAGTTCCCATGCTGGGCAGCACCTCTCCCCATGGATGGGCAGGACAAGTTGCCTTTGGGACATAATGCCTTTGATTAAATTTGGCAATTCTGAAGCTCCTGCTGGCCCCAAGGCAGCTTGGTGACATGTGACTGCGTGTGACAACACAAATGTAGAAGCCTGTCATTCAGCCTCCAGCCTGTGCTAGTGTCAGTGCAAGCCTTGCCAAAATTAGTTCTCCCAGCAACACTTACAATAAAATACTCTCTCGTCCTGCAACCTTTGTATTAATTAAATGAAAATGGATCAAGCAAAATCAAGGGTTTTCTTTTGTTGATTAAACCGTGATTTATTTAGCAAATGTCCTCCACCTGTTTACAGAAAATGCTGGCTTCTGACTCGTACCTACGTGGACCAACTGCAACCACAGGCTGTGCCGGTGCTCCTGAAACCAGACCGAGTTCTGTGCCGTGCTGCTGCATCTCCTCCCACACCTGCCATCCTCTGGGCAGTGCTGAAGCAGGGTGAGCTGCAGAGAAGAGTCTTATTGAAAATATAAAATAAATATCTAATAATAGGGCAATTTAATTGAGCAATTCCAAATGGCTGAAGCAGATTTATATCAGCACATTGATTAGTTGCTGGAGACATGCAGAATCCTGATGGGCCCTGGCCAGAGGAGCTCTCTGCTTGATGTAAAACTCCTCTTGAGTTTTACACAGATTCCTTTTAGTGCTCACATTTCCTCTCAAAGAAAATATTCAGGTATCAAAAGTCTGAGGGCCATGGCCTATCCGGAATCTATATAGTATTTGAGATCTATCTAGGAAATTCTGTTTTAAGGAGGGCACAGAAAAAAGGAGCACAAGCAGAGGTGAGAGAGAGTGAAACTGCACTTCCCTCTTTCGATTTTCCTTGTGATGTCCAGATTCTAAGAAGACAAAGGTTATCAGGCTAAACCTAAATAGTAACAAGAGATGAAAAGTGTGAATCTCAGTGCAGATCTTTTAGAGCCCTCAGTTTTCTCTTTATAGGGATGTACTGGTGTGGAAACAGTAAGAATAGCAATAGATGACTACAGGTTGTTATTTGCAAAGATTGGGGCATACATTTGGAAAAGATACGGTTTTAGTAGTCAGAATAATTATGGGATCTGCAGGTAAAGGCCACTGTACTGAAATTATTTCCAGTCAAGACTGAAAACTGAAAGAAGAAAATGCAGGGCAGCCCTCAGATACCAGGAAGAAAATCGGGCTCCTAATGCATGGAATTCTTGTTTGCAGCACACATTGATCTCTAAATATTACTTCTTTGTTTCAGCTGCTCATACAGAGAATCTAGCTGAAGCTTTGCAAAGCCCTTCCTGTGCGACAGTGTTGAACCCAGTCTCATACTAAATCAGAGTTCTTACGGGTATTTTGATCTTATAGGAGCAAATGAATTGCCTGATGTGAAACAGGAAAATAAACAAGTTTTCAGACTTTTATCAACACTTTGATCAACACCTAAACCCACTTTGAAGCATATATATCTTGCTCATCTCAAGGAGACCAGAGCTAGAATAAAACCAAAGGAGTTGCACAGAAATCTTGAAGGATTGGGTAATGCAAAGTTTGGGAATGCAGAACTGCAGATTATCTTGGAATAGCCTTTGCTGATGTAATCATATGTGCATATTGAAGGGTGCAGACAAAGCTGTTGCTTTTCCTCTTTATTAAAGCCATAGGCTGTATTTTTCAAGCTTTTGAAGCTCTTTTTCAGCCTGGATTTGAGTGCAGGCACCTGAACTTCCTGTGAGTTCAGACATGCGGGGATGGGTGCTGGCTTAAATCACATGGCAGGAATGGCTGTCTGCTTCCCTAGGCTTTCTGGTAGCTTTGGGCTTCAGCTCTGGGCTGCAGCTGAATAAGTACTTCCAAGCTGTGTCTTTTGAGCATCACCACTCCTGCTGTGTGGTACCACTGCACTTCCCTCCCCACCCAGCTGCTCAGCAGATCATGGTTCAGCTGCAGCTGACATATGGGGTGATAGAGCAGGAAAAAGATCGTAGTGTGCTCTGCGCATTCATGGGATGGTGCTACCACTGCAGGGAACGGTGGTCTCCAGATGTCACAGGCAGCTTTGAAAATCCCAACTTCTGAGATGCTGGAATTTGGATCACAATATATTTTTCAAGGCCCCCTCTTTCCCTGACCCATGCTTAGCGTGTTGGAATCTTGAACTAAGCTGTATGCAGCGGCTCATCCTTCTGTGTATGGGATCCTTCTGTGACCTAATGTCGTGGGTGCCTTGGTCCCCATGGTGTCACCTGGGATAAGAAACAATTGCAGAAAGTAGCAGGAACTTTCTAATGTAATGGCTTTGATTTGGGATTGTAGTTATCTTGTTTTTTGTCTTTGTCATCAGTACCACTAGAATTTCAGATTCTCTCACTCAGCTGTTGGATAAAACTTCGAAAAGAAAGGAAAAAAAAAGACCATAACGTTCACACAGAACTTTTACTGTGAACTTATTTGACCTTTGAAAAATAGATTCATAACTTTTCTAAAAAATATTTTCCATTTCTACTCTGCTTTCTTCCTGGTTCTGCCTGGGAACAAGAGGCAGGAAGCACCATAAATCTTGTGAAGAAGCCTTCTGGCAAGCTTCCTAGCCCGGCTCTGCTGAGCGCTGAGTTTTGGATCATTTGGATAAACTTTGTGTAAGTAGCCAAGCTCATGTGCTTCTCCAGCCTGTATGCGAACTCCAAATCCCAAGAAGCCAGTGTATTGCTTAGTCTAGGCTGGCTGCACTTTGCCCTTTCCTGCCCAGCTTTCTTTCACATATAAAGCACATTTGGTTTTTTGGATGAACTTGGTGGTAATGTGACTTGTGGTTTACAGCCAACTATAACATATGTAGGCATCCTTTACACTGCTTTGCTAATCACTTAAAACACTTTCCTAATCCTGTCTGGTGATACCGTGTGCCGTTCAAAGCCTGTTTTAATCCTGAGCAGAGCTTAGCAGTTTCACTAAAACACCATTATGGGGTTCAGTTTGAAGTTTGCAATTTGTTCCTTGTGCAACAGAGCAAGCAGGTTTGGACCCCAAAGAGAGAAGGAGCTCGTGAGACTTGACCAGGGAACAGATTTTCCAGTTCCTTCCCTTCTGACCTGAGGGTGGCACAGAGCCCTGTGCCAGGCCTGCTATGGAATCATGGAATCATTAAGGTTGGAACAGACCACTTTGATCACTCAGTTCAACTATCGATCCATCCCCATCACTCCCTCTAACTGTCCCCCTCAGTGCCACACCTCCAGAGATGGTGAGTCCCCCACCTTCTTGGTGAATAAATGTTTCCTAATTTCCAGCCAGAACCTCCCCTGGTGCAACTTGAGGCCATCACCTCTCATCCTATCGCTGTCACCTGGGAGCAGGTACCCACCTCACAACCTCCTTTCAGGGAGTTGCAGACAGCAATAAGGTTTTCCCTGAGCCCCTTCTTCTCCAGCCTGAACCATCCCAGTCCCCTCAGCTGCTCCCCATCAGATCCCATAGTCCTCCAGACCTTTCCCAGCTTCATTGCCCCGCTCTGGACATGCTTCAGGACCTCAGTGTCTTTCCTGCAGCAAGGGTGCTAGAAGGCTGAGGTATGCTGGGACCAGGGCAGTGCCAGCAGGCAGGCAGGCGTGTGTTTGGTAGGGCCGATGTGAGCTTGGTGGGGTGCTGTTCTGGCAGGTGTTGGGTTCCTCGCAGTCCGAGGAGGAGCGTGGTGTGGGTGAGGGCAGCACAGCGCTGGCTGTCAGCAGGGCCTGCTGCTGTCACACCTTGACTTGTTGAGCAGAACGCAGCCTGGGGATCACAAAGCTGTCATTACAAAGCATTAGCATGAGAAAAGGAGCGCTCCTCATGTTTTGGCATGTCACACCCGAGTGACAGGGAGCACAAATACAGTCAGGCATGCAGAACAGTGCGAGTCAGTGTTGGCTTTGACAATGTTGGGCACCAAGGCTGTCACTCCTTTGACACAGCCCCTCCCTCCCCCTGCCCACGCTGCCATTCGCAACAGCAGCTCGCCCACTGCTTTTCTTTCTGCACAATGTGTCAATAATTACTTGTCAGGCCTCTGCTTATAGACCTGGGATGGTGAATAAACGCTTATTATGCCTGAAAAATGTTGCAAGCTTTACCGTAAATCTTATGTTACAAATGCACACAATAGGGGCTATTGGCACAGAGGCAAACACTCGCATTAACATGGGAAGTCATGCTGCCGAGAATGGAGTTTGACAAACTAACTTGCAGCACAGGAGTTTGTTGACCTTTTCTTTGCCTCCCTGGCAATGGGAGTAGGTTTGTGTGTATTAAAATGTTGGATGAGTAGGAGATGAGAGGGGAGACCAAACATCTCCCTGTTAAGGCTGTGAGAGAGAGGATAGTCTGAATCTGGGAGCACTTCAGAGCTGGTGTTACTGGCTATCATCCTTCCGACACACCGGAGCTAGGCAAACATTTGAAAGCTGAATTTAACTGTATTTTCATTCAGCAGCCTGGGGACTTCTGCATGTGCCTGCTTACCCAGTAGGGGCCCAAAACAAAGCGTCATTTTGGACTGGTACATTCATGGCATGCTCCTGCAAATTGCAGCTCTTGAGCTGTTTTACTGGTCTGACTTTAAGATGGCTTCTTCTGTGGACTGAAGCTTTGATTTTGAGGTACTGGAATGAGCTGTCTAAAGGTATTTGTCAAATGTGCAGGTGCCATCAACTGAGCACAAAGAAAGAAAGTGTGACGGAGATTTTAGAGAAGTGATAATTAGGGCCTGAAGTTAAAAACGAAGTAACTGGAGGCTTATAACAAAAATCTGCCCTCTCCATGTTGTTAGCAGGGACAGGTGAACTTCTCTAGAGTTGGGTTCTACTGTAGGTGATCTAAGCAACTCCCAGTAGCATCCCATTGCTTTCCTTTTATTTCTAAGATTTTCATGGTTCTCTATCCTGCTCATCTTTAAAATGTCCTTGTTTACTTCATGCCTTTCTGTTCCTGCATCCAGTGACTGAACATATCTCATACCTGTTTAACCCTTTCATGTTTTCTAGCAATCAGAGTTTTGAAATGGGAGAAAATAATACTTTTAAAGAAACACTGTTTAAAACAACATTACTTGGGAAATAGAAATGCGTTTCTTTCTGTCATAGTGTTCAGAAAGAATATCAGCTTATTTAAAAAAAAAACAACAACAGCTTTTGTTTTGCATTTAGGAAATCCTAAAGCATAGAGTAAATTTGAGCTAAATTCTTTAAGCAGTGAAGAAGCCCTTCGGCAAACAAAAATGCACGTTGTGTATGTGAACTGGGGGTTTACACACTTGTTGTGTAAAGCCCAGTGCACCAACCACAGTCAAAATTTGACATGATGAATTTTCATCCCTTTTAACTTATGTGGATGTTGCCAGCTTTCCTTTAGATTATGCTGATATCAATCTGAGATAAACGCATTACTGGGTGCCCAAATTGCTGCTGAGCTCACCTGGTGTAAGTTTCAAACTATCTATCTGTATTTCAGTAAACCTGATTGATTCCTGTTGTTTTTTTTTGGCCCATTGTGCCAGCCTCGAACTTTATGGAAAATTGAGAAGATCTTAACAAGTTAATTATTTATTCATAGGCCGATTGACGGCGTTCTTTCTATCTCCTGCAGAAATAATAAAAAGCCCTGGAGAAGAGCATTGAAACTGTTCAAATAAGTGATGCTTTCAGCATTAAGGACGGGGAGGGAGCAGGATTTGATTCAACTCTAACTGCAGGGGAAACTTAAGGCAGAACTTGATGGGAAGCGATGGCACTTTGGCCTGCAAGAGAAAACTGAGCCCATCTCTCAAATAAGTAAATAAATAGCTTATTGGGTTTGTCCCAAATACATGTGCTCTGGAATTTAGTCTCACATTGAACAATTCCAACTGAAAGGCCTCCCCCCAGTTCTTGAGCTCTGCAAATGTTTATCCCTACTGGAGAGATCGAGATGCTGACAGTTTAAACTGGGAGGTGTTCGTTCTCTAGCTTTCTCCCTAAGGCTGATTCTAAAGCGAATCTGCTACCATGAGGGAAATTAGAAGAAACAGCTTTGTTTTTTGCTTTTAATTTCTGAGTTTAATTTCTGAGTACAATTTCTGAGTTCAGATTTGATTGCTGGTTTGTTTCAAGGCTGTATTCTGTAATAGAAAACCTGCTCTTACAGCTTAGCCAACAGAGCCTGTG